ATATCAAATATTTATTATAAAATTTTAATATAAAATTTTTAATAATTATTTTTTCTTATTATATTTCACTATTACTATTATATTTATATTCAAATATATATTTCATTATTAATTTTAATATTATTATTATTATATTTAATTTCACTATTAAAATAATATCACAATTATTATTATTTTTAATTTCATTAAAATCAGTTTCTTCATACGTTCAAAATACTTAACAAAAATTGATAATGACTTAACAATTTCACTGAATGGACTTAACAAATTCACGTATATTAGTATCCCTTTATTTCGCCGAATGGACTTCAACAAGGGGCTTGAGTCAATGAGCGGAAAACTTCCTTTTCGTGCTCTTGATTTTACCTGGATATCATGTGATTGGGTATCATATAAGCAGGCCCGAAACACACAATTTTTTTTTTAGATACCGCATAATTGGGTATCCGATGAATGGGCCTGAAAAAAATGTTTAAGGCCTTGTTTGATTTGAAAAAATAGTTTCTGTTTTTGAGAAAATATGTACATCAGCTTCAGGTTCCAAAAAAATTTTATATAGCTTCTCGGAGAAATATGGCTAACGGTGGTTAGAATGTACATATAAAAAAAAAATTTTTTTACACTATTATTAAATAATGTTATTCATATTCTGTTTAAAAATTTGGTGAAAAAAAATATAATTTAAGAATTTTAAATTTGTTGTGTTAAATTGCAGTAAAATGTGCTGTGTTAAATTGAAATGTTCAAAAGCATAAAATAGTAAACATTTAAATATATGAAAATAATAAAATTATTTTACTCAAAAAATTGCGATTGAATATGAAAGCACTTATTAGCTTTTTCTTTTTGTTTTACAAATGAAATTGTGAAACCAAAAAGTAACTTATTATTATTATTATTATTATTTAATATTGAGATAAGATTAAAAGTTAATACTAAACTAAGACTCCAATTCTAACCACTAAAGTTCGATCAATGTGTTAAACTTGCTTGAAATGCTTTTATTTATGAAATCTGGATGGATAGAAATAACAGAGTATTTAAAAAGTGGACCGGTAATATTACAACAATGTTGCAATTCATTAAGGAAGTTGTTCGCTGCAGGCTTCACGAAATTCAACCCCTAGTTAATAATTTTTAATCGATCTTTTTGTAGTAATTGAGATTTTGATGAGTCTGATATTTAATCGACTTATTTTCATTTTCTTTTTTTTTTAAAGCTATAAATGATTGTATAAACAAAATTCTTTGTACCGTTTTTGGATGAATAAATAACATTATATATATATATATATATATAAAATGTGTTGGGCAAGGATTTTTTTTTTTATTTTATGAAACTCTTGATTGTTTAAGACTTAATTGAGGTAATAGTAGATGATGAAAGACTGAAACTGGAATGATATAAACTAATATACAAAAGTGGGCATTATAGGATGGAAGAGCAACAAAACCAAGAGGGTGATGCCTTCATGGTAATTAGGTTTAATATAATCAAGGGATTTGAGAGGCCATTTGGCATGAGAAAATAATCACTCGTGGATATGTCATTCACTGTTGAAAAAAAAGACGTGGAAATGGTTAGATTCAACAATATTGCAAAGGAAAATCTGTAGTAATTATAGACCCCAATCCATGTAGACGAGCTAAGCCAAATTGGAAACGCAATTCAAGATATATGTGAGGTTGGCGTAGTTTCAAAGGGTTTTGATTTATTGATCGATAAGAATTTCATTTTTTTTCCTTAATATTCTTGAAATAGATCTTTCAGGTCAAAAACATCTTTATAACCATTAATGTAACATTATTGGGTGTTTCATGCTGACATAATTGTCAAGATCCGATATTAATATTGGTTAGAAACTTAAAATATTTAGTTATAAGATAATTTTTTAAAGCTCAAATTCAACATTTATAATTTTTTTCTTTTATATTTATACTACAACTTTCTTTATATAAAAAACTTAAAACTAAATTTCTAACTTAATTTTATTGGTTCATTAAATTTTTTAAAATTAAAATTAAAATTTAATTTAATTAATTTATATAATTATTTAAAAAATATAATATTAAATATATCTAAATTCAAATTTTAATACCCTCAACTTTTTCTTCTATTCACGTCTCTTTCGTAAAAAATTTAAAATTATCTCTAATAATAGGTTACGTAAAGTATTTGGCTTTGAATTTGAATAAAAGAAAGAATTTTAACCACGTGGCATTGAAAAACTTGCAAAGTTGATTTCATCTTATCTTGTTTTTTTCTTTTTTTTCCACCGGCAAAGTGGCTAAACTTCCTAGCCGAACACATCTTTTTCCTAGCCTTTAACGGGTCGACTGATTGATCCTCATCCATTCCAACAAGATTGATTCCGATCCAGTGGAACAGTTAAATTTGATGAGGACTCCATCTCACCAAAACTTGGGGCCACCTGGGAAAACACTGCATTTCCGATGCAGGTGGAACCCAAAGTCTTTTTGGGGTTCAAGTGCATCGAATATGCATTTGAGTAACATCCCGTTAGTGAGGTTATTAGTCTCCGATTGATCAATGATTGGAAGGAGAAGAATCCAATGATAATTGACTTTTAGGACAGTCTATTATCTTGATGTCAAAATAAAAAATTTTATTATCATAGTTGCATTTATATTTAAATATATAATTTTTTTGTTAATTTTAATCTCATCTAATTTTATTATCATTTTATTTTTAATCTTATTTAAATTAAACTAATTATTCAACCAAATGAATCTTAATTTCTAGCCAAGGTAATGTTTTTCCTTGTTATTATAATTTAAATTAATTTCTTGTCAACAATCGCATAATATTGCTATCACTACAAGAGTTTAGGTCTTTAGTGATATTTTTTTCAACGTTAACGATATTTATAAATATCACTAAACAATTTGTGACGTTTACAAAAAAATCAATAAAAGTCTTAGCTATATACATATTGAAAAAATAGTGACATTTTTTTATAAAACGTCGTTATTTTAGTGACATTTATATTTAGAAAATATTGCTAATTTAAAGGCATTTGTATAAAAAAAAGCATCACTAATATGGTGTCATTTATATCATAAAATGCCGCTTTATTAAGCGGCGTTTATCAAGACAATCGCCGTTAAATTAGCAACATTTTTATCATAAAAACATGACTAATTTAGTGGGGCTTTTATGATAAGAACGTCATTAATTTTGTGACATTTTTATGATAAGAACACCATTAATTTTAGTGACGTTTTATTATACAAATACCTCTAAATTTAGAATTTAGCTGCATTCTTAAACATGAACACCTCGAAATTAAGAAATTTACGATTTTTTTTAATTTCTTTTAATATTTATTATTTTCATAAACAAAAAATGTTAAAAGAAATAAAAACGAACTTAAATTCAGAAATTAAAATTAATAAATACATAATTCACGTTCAAATATGAATGTAATTAACACAAAGTTTAATAATTAGTATAATAACATTTAAATTATTTTAGTACATTAACAAAAAAATTTAAAATGTATGAAATTGATAATTGTATGAATTTGAAATACTGTCATTTAATGAAGGAATTTTTTCACTTTAGTCACTAACGTGCTCAAGAACCTACTAAATAATATCATACAAGTTTTAACACTTAATAATAAGCTATTTTTTATGTTAAAAAATAAATATTTACTAAATATAACACCTAAGTTGGTGAACAACTAAGATTAGTTCTTGAAAATTGTTGTTGCATAAAATTCACAAGATGATTGAATCGATCATGCACCTGTTGAAAATTTACACGTTTTTAATCCATTTTAGCACGTTCTTCTTTAATTTTATCGCACATATTCTCTTTTTTCTTCAATTTATTGAAAACGTTATTGCATAATTTGTAACTCTTCTTTCAATATAAAAATATTTCACGAAAATTAACTTATTAAAAATATAAATTACTAAAAGTTACGTCTATAATAATTATTGGAGTAGATCTTTCATGTCAAAAACATCTCTATAACCATTAATGTAAGATTATTGGGTGTTTCATGCTGACATAATTGTCTAGACCCGATATTAATATTGGTTAGAAACCTAAAATATTTAGTTATAAGATGATTTTTTAAAGCTCAAATTCAACATTTATAATTTTTTTTCTTTTATATTTATACTACAACTTTCTTTACATAAAAAACTCAAAATTAAATTTCTAACTTAATTTTATTGGTTCATTAAATTTATAATTTAATTTAATTAATTTATATAATTATTTAAAAAATATAATATTAAATATATCTAAATTCAAAATTTAATACCCTCAACTTTTTTCTTCTATTCACGTCTCTTTCGTAAAAAGTTCAAAATTATCTCTAATAATAGGTTAGGTAAAGTATTAGGCTTTGAATTTGAATAAAAGAAAGAATTTTAACCCCGTGGCATTGAAAAGCTTGCAAAGTTGATTTGATCTTCTCTTGTTTTTTTCTTTTTTTTCCACCGGCAAAGTGGCTAAATTTCCTAGCCGAACACAGCTTTTTGCTAGCCTTTAACGGGTTGAATGATTGATCCGCATCAAATCCAACAAGATTGATTCCGATCCAGTTGAACATTAATTTTGATGGGGACTCTATCTCACCAAAACTTGGGGCCACCTTGGAAAACACTGCATCTCGGATGCAGGTGGAATCCAATGTCATTTTGGGGTTCAAGTGCATCGAAGATGTATTTGAGTAACATCCCGTTAGCGTGGTTATTACTCTTCGACTGACCAATGATTGGAAGGAGAAGAATCCAATGACAATTGAATTTTAGGATAGCCTATTATCTTTATGTAAAAATAAAAAAGTTTTATTATTACAATTACATTTAAATTTAAATATATAATTTTCTTGTTAATTTTAATTTCATTTAATTTCGTTATCACTTTATTTTAAATCTTATTAAAATTAATCTAATTATCCATCCGAACGAATCTTAATTTCTAGCCAGGGTAATGTTTTTTCCTTTTTATTATAATTTCATTTAATGTCTTGTCAACAATCGCGTAATATTGCTATTCTGGTGGGAACTCCAAGGCCCTTGTCCTATATTAGTTTCTCATAGCTCTAGAAGAAGCAATGTAGCAATGGATTGCTTTCATCCATGTCCAGCCACTTCAACGGTTGCAATGATTGCTTTTCCGGTACTACTCTTTCTTTTCTCTCTTCTATGGATATCAAAAACTGCCTCAAGAAAAACAAACAAAATGAAAACGGCACCTGAGGCTGGTGGCGCATGGCCTGTAATTGGCCATCTTCGCCTCCTAGGAGGGCCACAACCAGTTCACATAAGCTTGGCCAACATGGCTGAAAAATATGGAACAATCTTCACTATCAAGTTGGGTGTGCATAGAGCTTTGGTGGTGAGCAATTGGGAGATTGCTAAAGAATGTCTTACCATAAACGATAAAGCATTCGCCAATCGTCCAAAGCTTGTTGGCTTGGAACTTTTGGGCTACAACAATGCCATGATTGGCTCTGCGCCATATGGACCTTACTGGCGTCAAGTGCGCAAGTTTGCCACTGTTGAGCTCCTCTCAAACCACCGGATCGAAATGCTTAAACACGTGAGGGAATCCGAGGTAAATACATCTCTGCAGCAGCTATACCAGCTGTGGAACAATAAGAGAAGCAACTCTGATAAAGTATTGTTGGATATAAAGAGATGGTTCAGAGAAGTTACTCTTAACGTGATTCTGAGGATTGTTGTAGGAAAGCGAATTCCGAATTCCAGTGAAGGCGGTGAAACCGTGAAATGGACCAAGTTAGTGGACGACTTCTTTGAACAAAGTGGGAAGTTCTTGGTATCAGATGCGCTGCCGTTTCTGAGATGGTTTGACATAGGAGGAGAGGAGAAGCTCATAAGGAAGACAGCAAAAGAATTAGACCAAGTTATCGAGGGATGGCTACGGGAGCACAAGCACAAGAGAGCTGCAAACGAGGCCAAGAGTGAAGAAGATTTCATGGGAGTGATGCTGTCTATTCTCCGTGATGTAGAGGCGCACGATGCTGATACAATCAACAAAGCCACCAGTCTGGTACATGCATGCATTTCTTAACCAAATATTCATTGCAAAACTTCATTTAATTAATTCACCTTTTAATTTTTTTTTTTTTGGGCACACAACTCCATGTCTTCTTAGCTAGTGTCCCTAGGTAGACTACTAATGGCGTAAATAAGTCAGAACACTTTGTCTTGAATGTAACAATTGCTGCAGTTTGGATAAAAGAAAGAATTGAGATTGGAATCTCTTTAAAAATTATTTTGTGAACTATGATCCTGAAATATTTGTATACTATGATCTGATCTAACAGAGTCTCATCTTAGCGGCGGAAGATACCACCTCAATCACAATGACATGGGCTTTATCTTTATTACTCAATAACCGTGAGGAATTGAAGAAGGTCCAACAGGAACTAGACATCCAGGTTGGCATGGATAGACTGCTAGTAACAGAATCAGACACCAAAAACTTAGTGTACCTTCAATCCATCGTTAAGGAAACGTTGCGCCTATACCCTCCTGCTCCACTCTCAGCGATCCATGAAGCCATTGAAGACTGCACAGTAAATGGTTACCATGTCTCGACTGGAACTTGGCTGATATTCAATCTTCACAAGATTCATCGTGATCGGCACATGTGGTCAAACCCTTCTGAATTTCGACCAGAAAGATTTTTGACTACCCACAAAGATATTGATGTCAGGGGACAGAATTTTGAGCTGATTCCATTTGGCAGTGGTAGAAGAATGTGCCCCGGAGTTTCATTTGCGCTTCAGATTTTGCAGCTTACACTCGCTAATGTGCTGCATTGGTTCGAGTTTGAGACTCCGTCAGATGAAAAAGTTGATATGCGTGAAGCAGCAGGATTGACGAGTCCTAAAGCAACTCCACTTGAAGTTCATATAACTCCTCGCCTTCCTGCTTCTCTTTACTACTCCACCAACTAATTGTTATAATATTTGAGTTTGGTTTATAACAAATAAATTTCTAAGATGTTTCATGGTAATAGGTATAATTTTGATGTTTTCTTCCTACTCCGCTGCTTGAATTAATGTATTATATAATCGGAATCTGAAAAGATTCACTAATGTTTAACGTGTCTCATACTTGTATTGTTAAATAATTAAGTAATATATAAATTATATTCAAGATTATTATGTTCGAAGATAAATTTCATTTATATATTCGTAATTTTTTTAATTTATATAAATACTTATATTATAATTAATAATATAAAACAATCATCATTAGTGTATCACACAGGATTAAAGTCAGTAATTACAAAAATTAATATGATACGTGGTTTTGATAAATTTCTTTTAACTATTATTAATTTTTTTCCTTGGAAGGATGGGCTTTTGGATGGTACTACTTTGATGGATAAAACTTAAATACAGTTATTTAGGTAAAGTTTGTGAAATTTTTTTAAATTATTTAATAAAAATTTTAATAAAAATTTAAAACAAATAAATTAATAAAGTTGAACGTGAAAATTAATAATATATAAAAAGTTATTTAAAAAATTATTTATAATTTAAATTTGATTGATACTTATTCAATAATAAAAATTTTGTTAATTTTTTTTAATATCAATTTAATAAATATATAAAAAAAATTATTAAAATTTGTAAAATTTTATATGCTAAATCTATATGATAATATTTTTTTTAATTTATGAATTTTAATTTTATTTATTCATTTTTAATAAAAAATTTTATGAATTTCACCTGAAATTTCATGCAAGTCTTTCTCATACTATGATATAATTGAGACTTTCTCGTTAATGCCTACTGATCCCTCCCTTAATTAATATCATTTTCGGTATTTTTCCCTCATTTTTTGGAAAAGAAAAACTATGAACTTAAGTTCCATTTATATTCAAATGATGCCTAATGCTGTACGATTGGGCTATTTTTGGTCCAATCTCGCTGTTGGGATTTGTTTGCATGCAAACGTGCCAGCATGATCAGCTCATTCATATTATGCCAGGCGTCGTTTATCCATTGGATAGAATATATGAATAAGTAACAATTGAGTTTTTTTTTTTTTAGTTTTACTCGTAGGACAATCAACTTGCCCCTTGAAAAGTGACGTGAACAGTTAAAAATAAAATTTAGGACATTTGACTTTTATCTAATATCTATAAGACAATGCTTTCACTTAGTGTGTTCTGATTTCAGGAAGTTCAATTTTTTTTTTTACATTTTGATTTTGAGTATTTAATTTTAAAGTTTGGTTTAAGAATTTTTTTTTGAAAAAAAAATTAAAATTTTAACAGTATTTAAAATTTTGAAATCAGAATTCTACTTTTTTTTATATGATGTTTTAAAATTTTTAAAGAAATTACTTAAATTTTAAATTTGATCCAAATAAAATTTTTTTATCTATATTATCTTTTTTAAAAGGAAGTTTGATATAAAATTTAAATTTTATTTTAAATCAATTATGATTTTTTTTAAACAAAACGCCCATTATTAATTTATTTTTTTGGATCTATAAATGGTTATTGCGTTATTTTTTTTTAAACATATGTTGTATTTGAATTATGAAGCGTTTGTATATGAAATACGGTTATTAGAGTGTTTTAACGAATAAACGGCGTAATAGAGTTTGGATATTACCCTCATTTTTATATCCATCCCACAAACTTTGGGTGGCTCGACGAAGTCAGTTCCAAGCAAACCATTTACGTTGGATGGAGTAGGAATTCAAATTGTGGTTGCGGACACGTTTTCATTCGTGTCGCGTTTGTCGATATTACGTATATAACGAAAATTATTGTGGTCATTACGATTATCAAGGTTGTGAATTTTTTTTAATTTTTTATAATTTACTATAAAATGTAGTAATTATAATTATAATAATAATAATTAGTACTTATAATTTTTAAAGTAATTTATGATATTTTAATTTTTATTTATAAATTAAAATGATTTTTTCATGTTTTGTAGTTATGATTCAGAATAAAAATGCATATTATAAATATTTTTTTTATTATACTTATGAAGTTCAAAGATATAAATATTATAAATACATATGATAGAAAAAATATATCTTATATGAAGTTAATAAAGATTATAATTAATTTAATTAAAAAATTAGTGTTGAATATCTAAAAAAAAAAAAGAGAACTGACGGTCCTCCCACTGAAAGAAGTGGAATAAGCAAGCAAAGAACCCAACAAGCGATTCTCCTTGACCCAACCAAAAAAAAAGGAACCAACCAAGTGATTCTCCTTGACTCGACAAAAAGAGAAAAGAACGAATGAGCTTCGCACCGAGCATAGCTTCCCATTTCAAGAAACAAAAGGAAATGAAGAGGGAAGTCCGAGCTTTTCCACGAGCTCATGCCAAATTCTCTCTGAAATCCAGAATAAAAAGGAGGACCTATTTATTGGGGCTAGGAAGCACCTCATCCGACCGAGATTGATCGGCTGCAATGACTGCTCACGACCATTATGATTGTAAATTTCATTCACAACCTAATTTCGAGTACGTAGCAGTGGCGAAGACTACCGAAATTGTAAAATAGCGATCGTAATGCCACTACACAATCGCTATTTGAAACCCTGGGATGAAGCTTGAGCCAGCAAAGCCCTTAGAATTCAGCAGCTTTCATTTCTAAGAAATGGGTTTCCTTTGGGTATCATTCCTTCTTTATCTCTTCCTTCACAGAAAGAGTTGACTACTTTCTCTTTTCAGTCCCTCTTGCTCAGACCCTCCACTTCTAACTGGTATTGCACCATTCTTCACTATCTCTTTCTTGGGTTTTTACCCTTATCTCCATTTTATCTAAAAAGGGAAAAGATTTTTTATTTGGTTGGTGGAAAATTGGATAATATGAAATTATGAACTGTAGTGTTTATTGAACACGTTTTTCATTTCACTACAAAGAAGAAGATAGACAGTTAACATCAATCAAGTTGTATAAAGTTGTTCTATCAAGTGAGAAAATTGTCCATTTTAGTTCTTAAATGCTATGTATGCCTCAGAAAACTATTTTTTGCTCATATAGGTGGCATCGACTTATTGGTTAGTTTCGACCAAAGAATCTTCTTTCTGCTATTAAAATGATGCTTCATGGTGCTAATGAGTTGGAGCTCTCCGTTTTTTGAGATGCAGCCAAGCATTTTCTTGATAAGTCATTTGTATTCAATTGCATTAGCCACACAGCTTCCCTTGTCTCCTTCTTCATCCTTAATTTAGAGCACTGAGAGGCAAAGGGGAGAGGAAAGGTTATCGCAACAAGTTCAAGCTTTATCACCAAGCATGTATTTCTATTCCATTCATCTTTAGTATGTTCCTTGAAAACATATTGGATGCATTTATCTTTCTATTTTTCATCTTTATAACCGGTGGTTACAATTCTTATAAGCAATAATTTAAAAAAGCAATCAATTAGGGTGTTTATATACAATAAATACTATAATTGAATTCATTTAAAATTTTAAAAAAATTTAATTACGATATTTAAGTAATAAAAATATCATAATTTAGTTTAACTAAAAATTTTAAACACTCAGTTATAGCATTTTTTTTCATTAAAAGCTAAAATTAAATTTTTTAATTTTTAATTGAACTCAATTACAACGTTTATTGTATATAAACGCCATAACAGGTACAACCAATCTTTTGGTATTCCTATATAAACGTTATAACCGGTACAACCCATCTTTTGATATTCCAACTCAATTATTGCATTTTTGTATATAATTACCATAAATATTACAATTTCAATTTTATAAAAATATATATAAAAACTTGCATCATTTGTCATGTTTATATTTTAAAAAACAAAATCAAAAGTTTTTTAATGTTGTCAAGGATATTATGATAAAAATACATTATTTAACAAATACAAATTCCCCCTAACCAAACACAAAAATATGAAAAGGAATGCTCTGAAAATCGAACTTTTCCTTGAATGTAACATTTTTCAGAGATCATACTTGTCCTCAAAATCCAATAATCTAATAATTCAATATCCAAACGCCCTCTACTTAAAGGTATATATTTAGATAAAATTCGTGAAGCTTTTTACTAAAAATGATTAAATAAAAATTAAAATATAAAATAAAAATTAAAAAAATTTTAATAAATTTATATATTTTTTTTTATATAGACATTTTAAGTTAAAATGTTATCAAAATTTTTACCATTTAATAAGTATAAATCAAATTTGAATTATAAACAATATTTTTAATAATTTTTTACATATTAATAATTTTCACATTAAAGTCTATCAATATATCATTTTGAATTTTTTATTAAAATTTTTATTAAATTATTTTTTTTGAAAAATTCATAAACTTCACTTAAAAATTTCATATAAATTTTTTCCAAAGTTAATAGACGTACTTTTTTGGCAAGGAGAATTTGTGTCAAGACAATAACTTTTAATCATTTATTAATATTTATTTGTAAATATTTATTTATAAAAATATTATTTAATATATATTAATAATTTTAATAATTTTAATTTTTTATTAATTTCATAAATATCAAATATTTATTATAAATTTTATTATATACAAATTTTAATATAATGTTTTTAATAATTTTTTCTCATTATATTTCACTATTACTATTATATTTATATTCAAATATATATTTTATTATTAATTTTAATATTATTATTATATTTAATTTCACTATTATAATAATATCACTATTATTATTATTTTTAATTTCATTAAAATCAGTTTCATTGTACATACAAAATGCTTAACAAAAATTGATAATGACTTTGAACAAATTCACCGACTAAAATTTAAAGCTTTCAATTGACCAAACAAAAATCAATAAAAGAACAAAATTCATGTGAGCCTCACAAATAAGATCGATATCTAATTTGAGCCAAAATGTCAAACATACACAATTATTTCGGTCACACCTTTTCTCGAGTTAAATATAAAAATAATATTTATATTATATAATTTTTATCAATTTTGCATCTAAAAAATAAAATTCATAATTTCATCAATCAACATTGATCCTTTAGACAAAAGCCATTAATCAATCTGTTGACATGACATAAATATCTAATAAGATTCAAAATTATATAAAAAATACATTCAACATTTCATTATCAATTACTACATTAGCATTAAAAAAATACTTTAAAAATTAAAAAAAAAAAATTTTGAAATTAAAAAATTATTGAAACTCATGAAAAATTTAAAAAATTTAGAAAATCTAAAAAATTTAATAAAAATTCCAAAAAAAAATTATAAATAGTTCACAAAAACTTAAAAAAATTGCAAATTAAAAAATCTTAAATTTTATAAAAAAATATGAAAATTTAAAAAATATATAAAAATGAAAATGAAAAGAAATATAAAAAATAATGAAAATTTCTAAAATTTCTAAAAGATTCCAAAAATGACTTTAAATACCAAAAATTTTATAAAAGAAAAAATAAAATTTTTTGAGAATTCCAAAAATTGAGAAAAAATTTTAAAAATCATAAAAGTACAAAAAAATTTGAAATAAAAATAAATATCTAAAATTTTTAAAAAATTTTGAAAATTAAAATTTCAAAAAATTTTGAAAAGCTAATATTTGGAATTTTCATTTTTTTGTATTTTTTTAGTTTTTTATTTTTTCAGAATTTTTTTGAATATATTAATATTTTTTATTGTTAAAAAAATTTTCAAGTTTTTTTAGATTTTGAAAATTTCTAGATTTTTGAGTTTTTTTTTTAATTTTTTTGAATTCTTTCATATAATATTGTTATTTTTAAAAAAAATTAGAATTTTTTTTCAGAAATTTATTTTTTAAATTTTTTTTTTTAGTTTTTAAATTTTTTCATAATTCTTTTTTTAGATTTTTTAATTTTTAGGGTTTTTTTAATTTTTTAAAATTTTAGATTTTTTTGGATTTTTTTCATATTTTTAAAATTTTTTTGTGATATTGATATAACAGTTGATGATGTAGTAATGATTAGATTTTTAACACGTATCAATATGTTATTAGATGTTTGTGAAACATTAACAAATTGACTAACAACATTAACAAAGATATCAAAATGCATAATGAAATAAAAGTTCAAGTACCTAATTATGAATTTTATTTTTTTAAATATCAAAATGACAAGAAAAGTATAGTATAAAGGCTAAATGAGTATCTATAACTCCACCCCATTTTTTTATTTTACTCTTTTCAATACCCTAAAACATATAATCTCTAAGAATATAATATATTGGCTTAATTAACCTCAAGCATAAAAGTTGCTTCTATAATTATTTTGAAATCAAAATTAAAGACCCATCCCATTTGTTACTTTTTCTTTAATTTTATGATGACATTGCCATATTTACAAGTAAGAAAATGCATATTGAAAACAAAATATGTATAAGGAGTTTACATATATATTCACTAATGTTCTCATTTTTTTAAATTTTCGTTTAGTGTACTATTTTTTAAAATCAATTTAAATAAATTTATTTATATTAAAATTAAGTTAATATTTAATAAATTATCAAATGTAATTATAATTATAAACGACATTAAAAGATGATATATATCTCATTTTTTAATTAGATTTTTATATTTTTAAAATACTTTAAAAAATATGTGTTATTTTTTTAATTTCGTTTATTTCGGTGGAGAATCCTTTAAAGAACCTAGGGGGCCATTGCTCCCCACAAAATTTTGAATTTTTTTAATACATAAATTATTTTCACAATAATTTTGAAAAGTTTTTAATAAAAAAATTAGTTTGGCCCCCTCAAAATTAAATTTATTGTGTTAATATATGTTATTTTTTATTCTATGTATTTATATTGGATATATGTAGTTACAAAAGTTATTTGTATCTAAATATTACAACTCTTAACTTAAAAAAAAAATAATTTTTTAACTTGTGTTTACTTATCGTAAATAATTTTAAATTTAAAATGAATAATAAATTTGTGAATACTATATTTTCACAAACAAGTAAATTTAAGTTTCATATATACAAGTATTATAATAATTAAAATCAACTTGAAAAATATTTAATTGTGATTTTTTTAATCAATTTTTTTATTATATTTTGCTTATTTATTTTATTTGAAAAATTTTTACATATTAAAATAATTAATATGATTAGTTTAAATATATTTTCATTTTTCATAATATAAAAATATCATATAACAAATTAGAAGGTTTTAATTTATTGTATCAAAGCTTTTACCTTATTGTTTTAAATTTTAATTTATTTAAAAAATATATTTTTGTGATTTTTTCACTTTAATACTTTAGATATTAAACATGATAAAATAATATGTTAATATTGTAAGAAAATATATAATGGTTTTATTTTTATAAAGAATATTTTAGTGATTTATGATTAGAAATTGTGAAACCAAATGTTTAATGTATAATTTTATTATATATATATATATATTTATATGTTAACATAGTAATAATTATAAATTTTGTTATTATATGTTTGTATTTATTTTTTATTATTAATATATTTTATATATTTAAAAAAATTATAAAATATTACTTTGATCCTCTAAAAATTAAAAGTCAAAATTCACCACTGATTTATATAATCAAAATTTTATACTAATAATATATCAAATACTAACTCATTAAAATTAATAATTTTATAAAAAAATTTATTTATAATATTTAAATTTAAATTCATACAATAAAAAAATAACAAAAAATTTTTTAATCACTTGAGCTCACATACGTTGTAAAATATTCGCACTCACTGATTTTTATGGCAAAAATAAGATAAAGAAGAAGATAAGATGCTAAGAAGATTTGAAACTTCATTTTCGAGTTTCAGATGAACCACAGCCAAATCGGTACTCGGCCAACGACTATCTGGTGTCCTTTTTGTTACGAGTACTATCAGTATTTAAGAAGGTTGACCAGTCTATTAATTGTAGGATAATAATTTTCTAATTTATTAAATAAATCCCAATTTTCCTCACCTGCTTTTATGTACCTGCTGTGCATAACCTCCATTTTCCTCTAATCTAGCAAATGGATATTTTCCATCAATTCCCAGCAATTACAGTGCTAATTGGTATAATATTTGCTTTTGCACTCTTTCTTTTTCGCTTCCATGGCTATCAAAAAGTACCTTTAAGAACAGAAACAAAAAGAGAGCAGCACCTGAAGCTGGCAGCTCACGGCCTGTAATCGGCCATCTCCACCTCCTAAGAGGACGGAAACTACCCCACATTGTTCTCGGCGACATGGCAGAGAAATACTGTCCTATTTCACCATCAAGCTCGGTGTTCATAGAGCTTTGGTTGTCAGCGATTCGGAAACTGCTAAAGAATGTTTCACCACAAACGACAAAGCTTTTGCCAGTCGTCCAAAAACGCTTGCCATGGAATTATTGACCTACAACCACGCCATGTTTGGCTTCGCTCCTTATGGACCTTACTGGAGCCAAATGCGTAAAGTTGCCACTCTCCAACTCCTCTCCAACCACCGGCTCGATAGGCTCAGACATGTCCGATTATCTGAGATAAAGGTATCACTGCAAGAGTTGTATTAACTATGGAACGAGAAGAAAGATAGCTCTGATAAGGTTTTGGTGAAGATGAAGAAATGGTTTGGGGATGTAACTCTTAACGTGATTCTCAGGATGATAGTAGGGAAGCGAATTCAGAGTTCGGGTAATGATGCAGAGAGTGAGAGATGGAAACAGGCATTGAAGGACCACTTCGAATTGAGTGGAAAATTTGTGATATCTGATGCGTTGCCTTATTTAAGATTGTTGGACATCGGGGGAGACGAAAGGTTCATGAAGAAGGCAATGAAAGAACTAGACGACGTTGCTGACGGATGGTTACAAGATCACAAGCGAAAGAGATCAGATTCAGATAGCTTGAAGAGCGACGAAGATTTCATGGATGTGATGCTTTCAATCCTCACTGACACTGGAAAGCATGATGCTGATACCATCAACAAATCAACCTGCCTGGTACGAATCATTTATTAGACGACTAGGCATTTGCTACTCCCTTCAACTAACTCCCCTTTATCGCAGGGTTTAACCTTAGCAGCCTCTGATACAACAATGGTTACATTGACATGGCCTTTATCTTTACTACTCAATAACGCCATGCATTGAAGAAGGCACAAGAAGAATTAGACATCCATGTCGGTAAGGACAAACAGGTAGAAGAATCAGACATAAAAAAGTTAGTCTACCTTCAAGCCATAGTCAAGGAAACGCTGCGGTTATACCCTGCCGGACCACTTTCAGTGCCGCATGAATCCATTGAAGACTGCGTTGTGAGTGGCTATCATATCCCCGCAGGTACACGACTTTTCATCAATCTTTACAAACTTCATCGTGACCCTCGAGTATGGTCAGATCCTTGTGAGTTTCAGCCTGAAAGATTCCTAACTACCCACAAAGATTTTGAAGTGAAAGGCCAGAATTTCGAGCTGATTCCATTTGGAAGTGGTAGAAGAATGGGCCCCGGAGTTTCGTTCGCGCTTCAAGTTTTGGAGCTCACAATAGCTAGTCTGCTGCAAGCGTTCGAGCTCGGGACACCATTGGATGAACCAGTTGATATGAGTGAGGCAATCGGATTAACAAACTTGAGAGCCACCCCACTCGAAGTCTTTATAACTCCACGTCTTCCAGCTTTTTGCTATTAGCTTTAAAATGATTTGTAACAATAAAAAACAAATCTCATTTCAATACTTTTAATCAATTCGATAATGAGAAGTAAAAAGAGCTGCTTCCAAAGAGAAAATGGACCAACTTTTTTTTTTTTGCCTTTTCTTTATTTGGTCAGGACGTGGGCTTTTGTTGGTTCATTAGTTTGCTGATTGCTATAAATTTTTTTTTAAGGAAAAAGAGAAAATTTTGTTAATAAGAAAATTGTTTCATTTTGAGAAGACAACAAAAAGGTTTCAAAGATAAGCATTTCTAAATATTTTTTCTGTACATCATCAGTATACAAAACATAAAAGAAAAGATGTGCCCGGATAGCTTTTCCTTTCATTGCTTCACCGAAAATATTTTACAAGAAAGATTTCTCACGCATATCAAAGAGATGGATTAGTTCTTCCGTGCTAGAGCTGCAGCAATGCCACCAGCAATCAGTCCTGCAGCAGTAACAGCAATACCTATGCCAATGACGCCATCTGCAAAAAAATTGAAAGGAAAGTTGCTACATCAGCTAAGTACAGATAAATGACGAAGGAAACCACTAGCCATAGGTGCTTAGTTACCTTTTGTAATCCGGTCTTCAATTGCCTTCTTAAGAGCTTGTGCCTGCCTCCAATCAGGTTCTATCTGCCAAATTCAATAACAAAAACTGTTAATATGTGGACATTCTAAAGAACAACAGAACCCAATTAATTAGGGGATGATGAAAATTGGTTGGAGGTATTGAATACAAAATAATGCAGCATGGTGCACCAAATAAGAAATGCCATGATATCTGGAGTAGGACTATTGAATAAGGATAGTGAATATAATTATCAACCATTAGACACTGCTCCACAAGCTCCCTGCTCCTTGTATAGTCACCACTTCGAAAATATCCAACAGCCAGAAGATAAAGCTTCTCTCTCTTTTTCAATGGACTAGTAGTGCTGGCCAATGTAGCTGCAAATAACAAATGTTTTAGTTTCACCTATTCAGATAGGTTAAAATGATATTCAGCAAAAGATCTCAACAGCAGTTTGCAACCACTTTTCTAGAAAGCCTAAAGGAAGATGAGATGAAATGGAGAGAAAAACTTGGTTTCACCTTCAAGCATAGCTATTCCACGTTGTACATCATCTGCTCGTCTTGAGTGAACAAGAGCCCATGACAAACGCATGATACATTCATTTTTTAACTCACCAGAACCTTTATCCACCTCAGTAACCTCCTTTTCACATCCCTGTGAATAATTTTAAAGAGTATATAAAGCCAGGATAGTTTGGTTATAACTCATCCAACTACAAATTAAGGTTCAAATCGTTATTTCAAATTGACAGAACTTACCACCAAATAATCTCATGCACGAGAAAAGATGTATATAAAACAATTCAATGTGATGAATATGCAATTGAGCATGAAAATCCCAGAAGCAAATAAGGAACAGTCAACCCATGAAACAGTTAATGTATCATGAAACAAACCATTATGAGACTTTTTTATTGGCACAACCGTTAGCAGTACTTTTCTCTTTGCTCATTTATATATTAAAAATTTTGAGGAGAAGAAGAAGCAACAACCAGAAAGTAAGGCAATCTGGGGTTCTAAGTCCACATAATACAAAGGTTTTGAAATTAAATCAGCTAGATCACTATATATAACAAAAACCAAAAATAAAACATGAGACAGCACTTTCTCTGGTTACTTGCAATTATCTCACAGCCCATCTCATAGGCAATGACATCAGTTATTTCCATAAACGAGATTTTAAGGTTAAACAAACCTCAGTTACACCAAAATCTCCATTTTTCATAATGCATTTGAGTATAATGCATATTGGGCACATCAAAGTAAACATAATATAAGGTTATAAATGACCCTTCAACGAAAGGAAAAACTAGAAAAGAGTAAAATTTACAACTGATGTACACCTATATTAAACATATAGCCATGTCTGATGCTCGAATTCAAATACCGGCCATAAACAAAAAGACACCTGCATCCAAGTTAGAGCAAGATAGAAATACACTATTTTAATGATTGAAACATGGTAGCCAAAGGCAAAAGGAGTATACAAGGCTCTAGTACCTTGTGTTACCCAAGTCACAGGGCACAAAAAGCAGTCACCCGAGTAAAATGTTAGTTAAGGACAACAACAAGAAGAAAAGGCCTACTATGTAGCTACTCAAGACTCAACCTAAGAAAGCTCAGTAAAAGTTGAATATTTTCTTATAGTTTCCATCCATGTCCGTGTTAATCTTTCTCTCTCTTTCTCTCTACAAGCTATTAAAAGAAAGCATTAGTTTAATTTTTAAATGAATAGGTATAAGTGTGTATTATATGCATCTAGTATCTACAATGAAATAATATCAAATAAACTTTTGAAAGTTGACTCCATCAGCCCATTCCATTGCCTATGTGATAGAAAGCTCAAAAATATCCTAAAGTAAACTAAACTAACTCTGCATTTGACTCTAACTCCAAATTTCCTTCATTTCAATAGAGGAAGCTTAATCCTGCCTGGAGTATTTTTCCCCAATAAATGGAGGGAACTCCATTTCCAATGGTAGAAAATAAAGGGACATGTGGATTCCTTTTAGGCACCCATGACTTTCAAAAGATTGTTTGCTGGGGCCAACGCCATGATCCAGAACCAAGCCACCTCACCTGGATGCTGGCAAGGCACTCTTACCATCTAATGCTTCACCTTAGCACCTATGTACTCACCTTGGCTATTCTGGAGGAATACATTACCACACCACAATGAAAGGGTATACTCTCCGAAAGCACACACATCTACAAGAACCCTCCATTATTTTCAGACAAGCCCTCCCTTTCTCAACACATACTTGTCTTCAGAAATTACAAGGATCACTTAATAGCTAGATGCTTATTCTTTTCAAACCATGAAAAGCAGAAAGGGGAAAGAAAGGTGGAGGGTTGGAGAAAGGAGAGTGGAGGCATTTGCTGTAGTCATATACAACATAATCAATCAGGGAACAATGAAATAAATCAGTAGATGAATTGCCATATGTGGCAGAAATTCTGGTAAAGCTACTAAGTAGAAAGGTATCCACTGTCCACAACTTAATATCTTAAACTGCTGCAGCAGAATAGCATAAGCTTGATCTCAAAAGGGTTTTGACACAAGTTGATTCCTACTAAAAGGATATTAAGCTTCATCCAAAAATTAAAGAGTAAAAACTACAGGTTTATTCAACTACAGTTGCTTTTTATATGTAATTACACTAAAATTCAGAAATTCTTCATTAAAAAAAAAGGAATTTCAGAAGTAAAGACAAAATATATCGAAAATTAAACCAAGAAGAAACCCAGAAAGCTAATGAAAAGGCAATCTAAAGAACCCAAGCTAAGCCTTTTTTTTTTTTAAAGAAAAATTTATGCTTCCAAATATTTTGTTGGTTTTTGCATTTTAGAAACCATGAAACTGGGTTCCAAAGAAAGAGCATAGAAAAAGAAAGAAACCCCAAAAAATATGAGGGGGAAAAAGCAAATTACTTACAGCAACGATGTCAGAATCGCACCATGGAAGCTGATCTGAGGCGGAGAAGAAGTTAGACACTGACTCAAAGAATTTCCCCATCTTTTCTTCCATTTTTGATTGTTTTTTCTTTGCAAAATTGGAAACGCTGTGTCTGCTTTTCGTATTACTAGTTTCAACGTTTTTTAGTAGTTTTATTTATTTATTTATTGGGTAAAGTTTAAAAATATTTGGTTAAGATCCAAATGAAAATGTCTTCAAGATTTAAATGTGATATTTAATTATTTTATAATTTTTTATCTAAAATTATTATTTCTTTATTTCAATTTATATTTTTTTCCTTAAATGTTCGTTCTTTCTTTTTAAAATTAAAATAATTCACTCTTTAAATTCAAAACAATCTACAAATAATAACATTTAAATCATTAAAACTTTCACACCATTATCAGATTTTATTGTTAACTCATTTTTTTTAAAAAAAATTATTTTTTCTCTTTAAAATCACTTGACATTTTATTTTTTAAAATATTATTTTTTAAAAACAAATTCATCGATCAATACTCAAATCTCAAATTTCAAAATCCAATGAACATAACCGTCGCTACTTCAGTATTGTAAGTTGACACCAACAGACTCGTGAAATACCCTTTCTAGCTTCCTCATCGTTCTTTCTTTTTTTCTTTTTTTATTTTATTTTATCTTCTCTTTTCAATACCTGTGAAAACCATAGATCTTTGATTTGGTTATCTTTTTTTAGTTTCCTATTTATAAGTTGTTAATGATAATTTTGTTTGATTTTTTGGTGGATTATTCATTTTAATGGTAGGATTGATTGTTTGTGTTAACTTATTAGGTGAAATGATGATTCAAGAGGAGAAAGAATTTGATTTCTCTAAAATTTTCTCAGATAATGATTTTAAATTAATTGAATATAAAATTAAAATCAATATCAAAATATGATACAAATAATAATAAATTGATAAATTTGAAGTAAATATAAGTAATAATCAAAGTAAAAAGATAGTGATAGAGAAATTAAACACAATAATTTATAGAAGTTTGATCTTTTTCTACAAGATATTTATGTCCTCTCTTCTTGGTTGTCTACATCAAGATTTTAATTCTTTAATTAAAGAAAAATTCTTATAAGATATAAACATATTTTGTACTAAATCTCTATATTTTTCTTAAGGCTTAGATAATAACATTTACCCTTACAATATCATGAGGATATTTCACATTTTGCTTACAAGATAACTCCAATAATTTTTGCAAACGAAACACTTTTCAAGGTTGAGTGTTTATCTAATGAAGTATAAAGAAAATGATGATTAAATACAACAATAATTTGGATACAAGAACAATTACAAAGTTATGAAATTTTCGCTCTAAAACTCTTGATTTTTTTGAGAAAATGAAAATATGACTTGTTGGTGCTTGCTCTTTTAATTCATCAGCTTCTTAGTGTGTTGGCTACCTAATTTATAGAGGAAAATGAGAAAATAACTGTTGGAGATACTTGGGAAATGAAAAACCATGTTTTCCTCTTTTAAAACTAGTTGTTAGAGCTTGTTTGGGATGAAAGGATCGATGGGTTTTGATAAAGGATTGATTGATTCTCGAATTTCACTTAATTTTTTATTGTTACAGCTGATGGTATCAATTAGGTTTGATATCTGATCAATTAGGTTAGTCAAGTTTTATATTCCTAGTGATTTTGGATAAACAGGTAGTCTCATATTTTATACTCTACTCATTAATTTGATCATATCTTAAAACTTCGAATCAAGAACCGTTTGAAGATATAGAAACTAGATTTAAGAAGCTTTTTATCTAGATAAAATTCATTATTTAATTCACTGTATAAAAATTATCATAAAATTTCAAAACTATCTATTTGCAGTTTTTAAATAATTGCATAGTTTCTAGTAAAAATTAAAATCTTTTCTTAGAAAATTTGAATTTGAATTTTGTTTGATCTATTAGAAAGTAGACTCAAAAAGCTTTTCAACCATATAAAATTTAAATATTAAAACTCTATGATTTAATACATAAAAAAAACAAGTTTAATGTTGAAAAACTTTGTTCTTACAAAATAACTTTCTTAAGTTAATCTTTTTCTCAAAATTAATATTATCAAAATTTTATTGAATCCAAGATAAATAAGTTTACTTAAAAAAAAATAATTGAACTTTCATTTAAGCTCAAATAAATAATATTAAAAGATAATTTTGATTTTAAAAATATGAAAACAAATAAAAGTTTGTTTACACTTTGAAAAATATATTGTTTATTTAGTATCAAAACAATAAAACTTAAAAATATATACTAAATAATATTTTTTTAAATATTGATCAAACTTATTTAGTTTAATATTTTGTCATTTCAAAATAAGAATAAATTCAATACTAACAACTTTGATAAAGGTGAGGGTAATGGTAAGGTTACTCGATTGTTATTAGATTTGGTGGTAACGATCTAGTCTAGTAATGATGTGAACTTGTAATGGTAGTGGTGGTGTAGAGGTTCTGGTGGTTTGAAGGTTGCTATTTATATATTGATTTGTATTTAGAGAGAGAATTTGTTTGGTTTTAGGAAGAGAAAATGAATTTTTAGATAAAGAATACAAATTGAGATGAAGAAGGAAAAAAAATAACGGTTTTAGATAAAAAATAATAAAATAAATTATAAAATAGTTAAGTGTTACATTTTAAATCTAAAGTACTATCATTTCGACTTTAACTACAAGATATATTTACGAAGTGTACGCTATTTGCTTTTTGCCAACAAGTCTTTCAATTGATAAGTACTATCTATTTTCTAGGCAAAATCGGATAACTATTTATTTTGGCAAATGAGAAAAAACTATATTTATTTCTTAATAAAACTTTAAATTTTATTTATGAATTATTATTTTATATTATTGATTAATTTTTTTAACTTTTCAAGTGAAGGTAAATGTCATATATTTATTTAATAATTAATTATTTTATTAATTTTATAAATATATCTAATGAGACCAAATCAAAATTTCAAATTATTCCGAGGATGAACTGATGATTTATAAGATAATTTTTTATCTATTATTAACTTTTTAATAAAACTAAAATTTAAAATTTGAATACCCTATTTAATTTAATACTAAATTTATATTTCAATTTTTATGGCATTATTTTGCACTTTTGTGTTAAGATTTAAATCTTACTCATTAAAATTAAAAATTTAGTACTTAATAATAGATACATGTATTCACTTTTTTTAAAAAAGAAAATTAAATTTCCTTTTCCAAATAAAAAAAGAAAATTATATTTCAAAATTTCGAGTGGCAGAAGAAGGAAAACAAAAACCCCTTGCTTCTTTTGTAAAAGAAAAAGATGGGAAAAAACCTGCTTTAGTTTAGTTGTCAAAAGAGAAAAGGAAAACCTACCAATTTGGAAAAGGATGATTCAAGTTCAACAATAAATTGGGCAAAACCTGGCGTTAGCATACGCATAGCTAAACAAAATCCTATGTCTTGGTGGGGTATGATCCTTTCACCAGGAGATGCCGTTGGTTCTAAAAGCATTATGGTAGGTGAATTGGAAAACTTCAAAATAACAAAAACAGTATCCTCTCAACCTTGGCTCAGTGACTAATTTAAAATAGAATAAAATAATATAATAAAATATGATATAATAATATAATATAAAAAAATACGAAAAAAATATATTAAGAAAACATGGGTTAAAATTTTAATAAAATTTATGTTTGAGTTTAATAGAGACAAAAATTAATACGAACTATAATACATAATTTTTATATAAAATATAATACAAATATAAAAATTGTTAATGCTTTTAAGTAACGTGAATTGTCGGACCTCCCTTAGACACTACAATTTAATTAATCCTTATGTAATATACTCTACAAGCATTACTTTCATCCTGCTGCCCTTCCTAATGCAAAAAAACCCAAAAAATCAAACATAAAGTCCAAAATTTCCATAGGCTTGATGCCAGCACACTACCATCAATTTCACACCACAGGCGAAGATAAAAAAGACTCCAACTGCCCTTTATAAAATCCAGGCCCCTGTTTCTGAGGGAGCCAAATGCTACCTTCAGCAGTCATCTCTTTGCTCATTTGATGAGTTGAACTTATCATCCGCTTCAACTGACATCAACCACCGATTCACTCTACGAGCATGTAGCCTGAAAAGTAAGAATCAGATGGTAAACTGGTACTGCACATGATGAACAATGAAATTCAAACAAGCTGTTAAGATATTTCCCTCACTTTCTTGTTTGATGTGACCAGAACTCATGCTGCAAAATCATCTCTCGGCATTTCCTTTAAGGATTCTTGAAACCTGGATTTCGCCTTACACTTTGATCACACGAATGTTAGATGTGTTCTTTTCACAATTTTCTAATTTAGCTGTCTTAGTACATTTCTTACTTCCTCAAGCAAATTTCCTCAGCCAATAGCACATTTTCTTCATCGTGCTTTGGAGATTCACTATTACCACTGAAGAGTCCGTAGATAAGGTCGGGGATAGAGGTGCATGGCCACCTGTAATTATTAAAAAAAAAATTGAAGATCCAATAGAGATATTTAACCCGAAGATATACAACTGAACGTAACCAAAAGTGAAATTTTTACGCACCTCTGAAGGATGAACCTCTATCAGAGTCATTTGGTTGAGTTTTTACCAAAATGGTCCCAGAAAGCACAGCAATGAAGCCACATGGTTCAGATATGATGCTTCCCGTGCTTTGACTATCCCAATCCTGAAAAATGATATACTATTTCTGTGTTATACGCACATTAGATTGATGATCCATAAAAAAGCAGATCTATGCATGAAAAGTATGTTTCTTTCCCTAGTATTGGTTCAAAATTGTAGTAATGTGTTCTCCTAAATTTGGAACAACTATTCCATTCCTCCTCTATTTCATTAAGTGAACCAGATGTGTCGAAAATGTTTCAGTGTTCCACAAGATTGCAGGCATGGAATTTTTTAATTTATCATTAATTTCCATTTTGGACACAGCAAATGAGTTTTGCTTCTAATCTCTGTCCAGCCCAGCTTCAATTTACAATAGGCTAGGACTCACAGAAGTAGGAATTGAGCACCCAAATTACTGATAAACTTTGTTTAATTTTTATTTAAGCCAGCTTATTTAGTCCATCTCTTGCAGCCTATTCATTAAGTCATGACAACCGAACCTTAATCTCACAAT